GTGATCTAGTAGATATAGTATATTTGGACTTTCAGAAAGCCTTTGACAAGGTCCCTCATCAAAGGCTCTTATGCAAAGTAAGCAGTCATGAGATAAGAGGGAAGGTCCTCTCATGGATCAGTAACTGGTTAAAAGATAGGAAATAAAGGGTAGGAATAAAGGGTCATTTTTCAGAATGGAGAGAGGTAAATAGTGGTGACCCCCAGGGATGTCTTCTGCGACCAGTGCTGTTCAAAATATTCATAAATGATCTAGAAAATGGGGTAAACAGTGAGGTGGCAAAATTTGCCGATGATACTAAATTACTCAAGATAGTTAAGTCCAAAGCAGACTGTGAAGAGTTACAAAGGGACCTCACAAAACTGGGTGACTGGACAACAAAATGCCGATGAAATTCAATGTTGATAAATGCAAAGTAATGGAAAACATAATCCCAACTATACATACAAAACAATGGGTTCTAAATTAGCTGTTACTCTTCAAGAAAGAGATCTTGGAGTCATCATGGATAGTTTTCTGAAAATATCTGCTCAGTGTGTAGCGGCAGTCAAAAAGTTAACAGAATGTTAGGAACCGTGAGGGAAGAGATAAATAATAAGACAGAAATTATCATAATGACACTATATAAATCCATGGTACGCCCACATATTGAATACTGAATGCAGTTCTGGTTGTTCCAGCTCAAGAAAGATCTATTAGAATTGGAGAAGGTACAGAGAATGGCAACAAAAATGATTAAGGGTATAGAACAGCTTCCATATGAGGAGAGATTAAAAATACGGGGCCATTTCAGCTTGGAAAAGAGACATCTGATTGAGGAATATGATAGAGGGCTGTACACTCATGAATGGTGTGGAGAAAGTGAATAGGGAAATCTTAGTTACTTTTCACATAACAGAAGAATCACAGTCACCCACTGAAATTAATAGGCAGCAAGTTTAAAACAAACAAAAGGAAGTATTTCTTCACACAACACACAGTCAGTCTGTGGAACTCTTTGCCGGGGATGTTGTGAAGGCCAAAAGTATAACAGTTTAAAGAACTCGATACGTTCATGGAGGATAGGTCCATCAATGGTTACAAGCCAAGATGGTTAGGGATACAACTATGTTCTGGGATTCCCTAGCCTCTGACTGCCAGAAGCCGGGAGTGGATGACAGGGCGTGGGTCACTCAATGATTGCCTGTTCTGTTCATTCCCTCTGAAACATCTGGCATTGGCCACTATCAGAAGACATGATATGGGGCTAGATGGATCATTGGTCTGACCCAGTATGAGGTTCTTAGGTTCTTATGTTCCTGGGTAATGTCATTTCCCTGACAGGACTCACTATAGATCCCCACAAAGTAGCAGCGAAAAAGAGATCTCTTTATAGTGATTCAAATTGGATACTCAGGTTGGCATGTTCAAAGGAGTCCCAGGAAGATAAGGTGTCCAACTCCCATTGACATTTATTGGGCTCCGAGTATATAACTCCACTGGACAACTTTGAAAATCCCAGCCTCAGAAAGTAAGGCCCTGTAATCACTAATCCCCTTTGAAACGCTTTGCCTTGCAACAGGTGGATGACAGAAGCAGATGGGTATTGGGAGAGAGAATAGGGTAATGATTTAAACACAAACTCTCGGTCTTCAAAATTACTAACAAATATGTATGTATTCCCCCATTTTATTACTATTATCCCCACCCTAACATATTATGGCTATGTAGTATTGACTGGATTTGTATTGTCTGATCTTGCAGCTTTGATAATTTGTAAATTTGTATAATTCTATTGGTGATCCCACGAAGCTTGTGGTATTCAGAAACATATACATGCTGTTAGACATTTACCTTTTATTATTTTCCATTGTCTGTTTCTTTATGACAATCAATTTGTAGGGTTTGTTTTTTTTGGTGATTACTTACTATCTAATTTAATTCTATGCAGTGTTTGCACTCAGAGCACTGACATTTGGAGAATTATTTTCCACCACATAATTTCTAACGTCCTCCAATTCTTTTCTTGTCTCTTGGATCTGAGAAAATCATTACCTTTTGCCTATGGAATTCACTGTTTCTTTTCTATCAGGCTATACACTAAGACTGCAGACAATATAATATTGCTCTTTCCTTGCCCTAGTTTTAGGTGGGGGATTCATTAGCTCCTGGTTATATAACTGTTGCCACTTACAAAAAGTACTAACGCTACACTGTATGTTTTTCTCTTTCCCACGCCTGTGGATTTGGGCAGACCTGGTTTTCCAGAGCTGTCAGGATTTGCGGGGACAGATTGCACATCAGATTCTAGTGAGGCTGTTGATGACTGTAAAAAGCTCCAGTTTTCTGCTGCTGATCACTCCCAGTCATTGCAGATATATAGGTAATATTCATTAGATTCATGCAGTATATACACCTTTGATTTTAAAGTTAATTACAGTTGCAGGATATAGACAGACATAAACATACACACAGTATCTTCCTTGATTTCTTATCAACACATATGAATAGGCCTAGCCTAGGAACCTCTTTTAGTATCTCTGATGCCCAGGCACAAGTGAACTGTCCTGATTACAATTGCAATGTCTCTCAACATGCCTCTCAGGGTCACACACAGGTTACTTGACCTGCTAATTTTAACCTGCGCTGGTTTTGCTTAGCGTCAATACCTGTTCCTGCGCAAAAAGGCCTTGGGGCATGTCTACACTTGCCATTTAAAGCGGAAAATGTCCTTTTTGTGTGTGTGTGTGTGCAAAAACCACACTTGCCAATGACTTTTTGCAGTGAAACTCAGAAGTTTCACCTCAAAGAAAACCACCTCCACGAGAGGCACACAGCTTTTTTTTTGCGGTGATGTGCAGACGTGTTTTTCCTCTTTACAGAGCTTTTAGCCTCTGCAGGATATCCCAGGGCACTTAGGCAATGACTCTGGCCAGCAGCTCCGCTGTTGTGATGCTAGGTAAACAGACATCCACCCCTCCCCCTATAAAGTCCCAGGGAACTTTGGAAACTCCCCTTCCTGTTTTCTTGGCAAGTGCTCACTTATCTGGCCAGGTGACAATGCTTGCTCCACGGAGCAGATGATCCCCTGCTTGGAGCAATGCTGAACTACTGCAGCTGATCAGTGTTTAGGGAGAGGATGCTGTGCAGGGACCCAGGATGCTCCGCGATCCTCCCCTGGCCCTCTTCCCACAAGGCCCACCGTCAAAATGGACAGAGCTGCGCTGTGGGATAGCTGCCCTCATGGCACTGCTCTCTTCAGCAATGGAAGTGCTGCAAATGTAAACACTCGCCTGTGAAAGTGAGTACACAAACCAGCGCTTTTCTTTTACTGGTTCACTGTCACCGTTGAAACTGACAGTGCAAAAACTCTGCAAGTGTAGACACAGCCTTAGTCTTCACTCCAAAAAAGAGGTAGTTATCTCCACATAAGATCCTGGAGGAGACAGGGCACTGCCATTTTTACCTCATCGTAGATCGGCGAGGTCCACCCCAGGTGTGGGTATAGGTCTCACAGGTCCCAGTTGAGCACTATCCCATGGCCACTCACCAGACTGTTGTGAGGGAACCCAGCTGATGTGTCCACTGTGTCTTAAGCTTCTGGAGCCTGAACAGAGACCATCTACCGCCCCATTTTGGGGGGTTCCCAGGCATACTATCCAGGTGCAGACCCTTTGTCTGGCAACGCTCCTGAGAGCTACACCCCAATTCTAGTTGCCTAGCTCCTGGGCTCAGTGCTGACTCCTCCAGACTGACCCGTAGCTTAAACACACCCTCTCCCAGACTCCCACCAGAAGTTTTGAGCCATCTGGTTTACCTCTTCAAGGGTGCACATGGTACCATAGAGCACAGAACACAGTGAGACACTTTGCCTAGATTCTAACACCATCACCCTTTCACTTAACAGATAAAGCAGAAGAGAGTACAGATCATTTAGATCATAACAAACATCCCAAGCACAATGCCCCTCATTAGCTCACCCTTCCCTTGGGAGTCCTTGGAGGACCATCTGTGTTCAGGCACGGTCCCCTGCTTCATAGGCTCTTCCATGCTGGGTTTCTTCTCCATCATCTTGATCTGGCCCCAAATAGCTCAGCGCCTCTCTTTTTATAACCTTCTTGTCCCTGTGTCATTAGCCTCAACATGTGACCACAGACCCCTGTCAGGTGACTTAGTTGCCAAAGTGACCTCCCCCTTGATTAACCATTTCTACTGGTGGGAAGCCAGTCTGTCATTCAGAACTATTCTATTTCAGTGGGAGAGCCCTTTAAGTCAAGAACTCTCTTTTGTTATCCATGTGCCAACACCCCACTTGAATCCTAGTTCTAGATGGAGGTTAAAAGACAGTAGAAAAGTGAAGACCAGCCTTACAATCAAAATGGAGTTTGCAGTCTCATGTGGTCATATATACAGAGTTAATCATCTCAAACAGAATTCATACACTGTACAGACAGATCCCCCAAATCATAACAATGGTGTTGATCTTGACTAGCTTCATCAAGGACTAAAAACTATCTGTGTCTTGGCTGCATGAGGATTTTACATCAAGATAGCTATCTTGACGTAAAATCACACCTCTTTTTTGCAGTGAAGCCATAGCGTTCCTGTCATCTGTCATTCTCTCTTTTTATAAGGCCTCATGTACTTCTCAGGTACAGCATGGAGAGCAGCAGGCATCCCACACTGCCTCAGTGTTCCTCAGACCTGACCTGAGGGCTCTACTCCAAAGAGGCAAGAGTATAGTTTTGTCTCCAGAGCTGTTGAATTTTTGACACCTTGTGCAGAGACCGGTGATGTAGGCATCTCCACCAGGGACTGGGCTGAGGTCACCAAACATAGGCCACTAAACAGCTGGCAGAGGGTCAGTCACTGTCAACCTGGGATGGATTCAAACCTATGAAGTGGAGGTAGAAATCTCCGTAGTAACTTACTTAGCATGCAAACCTCACTTTTCGTATGTAGATCAAAATGTCTTTTGAAATGCACTATTGGTCCTCTTTACTTTTTTATTGCAGAATGTAACAGAGGGGTCTCTTGAAAAGTTTACCACCAAGGGTGGCAACAGTACCAATGTCTACCATGCTGCATACCACAGATAACCCAGCCAATCTGACTGACTACGAGTACCAATACTTAGAGGAGGAGGATTACATCCAGTTTTTGCTTTGCACAAAGGAAAATGTCAAGGCGTTTGGTAAGGTGTTCCTGCCAATGCTCTATACAACAGTGTTTCTGCTTGGATTGCCTGGGAACTGTCTACTCTTTGCCATCTTGATCAAATATACCAAGAACAAGAAAATGACCGAGGTGTATCTGCTGAATCTGACCGTTTCAGACCTTCTTTTCGTGGTAACCCTTCCCTTCTGGGCCACGTACGCAGCGTCTCAGTGGGTGTTTGGGAATGCCTTCTGCAAGATCATAAGTGTCATCTACACCACCAACTTCTACAGTGGCATCTTCTTTGTCAGCTGCATGAGTCTGGACAAATACCTGGAGATTGTTCATGCTTGGTCCAATAAAAACTTAAGGGCCCCAAGAAAGAGCTTCCTTGTCTCTTCAGTAGTGTGGGTTATTTCCATAGTGCTGTCTATTCCTGACTTTATCTTCATGCAGGTGCAGGATCTCCACAACGGGAGACGAGTTTGCCACCTCGACTATGGCCTGCACAACTCCATCTGGCAGCTTCTCTTTCAATTCCAGCAGATCCTGCTAGGCTTCTTCCTTCCATTCCTTTGCATGGTGTTCTTCTACTCCCGCGTAGCTTGTGTCCTCACTGCGTTAATGTCTCCTGGCAAGAAGAGAGCTCTCCGCCTGGTCGTTCTTTTGGTGGTAGTTTTCTTTGTGCTATGGTTCCCGTACAACGTTACCCTCTTTCTGCATTTGTTGCAAAACCTCCATGTGATTAAGGATTGTGAAACTAGCAAGCACTTGGACTACGCTATGCAAGTGACTGAGAGCCTTGCCTTTATTCATTGTTGCCTCAACCCCTTGCTGTATGCTTTTGTGAACAAACGGTTCAGGTTACACTTAAAGAAGATTTTTGGGGCCATATTCAGGAGGCAGGATTTCTTTGTTCTCCAGGTGTCCGAGACAAGTCGTTCTTCTAGTAGGTGCACCGACCAAGTAGAAATGACAAGCATCACGAATGTGTAATGAATATTTAGAGAATTTCATTGCTGTACATGTTTTATTATCACATATTGTACTGTTTCCGGCGTGGAACTCATTCTGGAGTGATGTATGCATAAGCGGTTGGAGCACAGACCTGGGAATCACGAAGGACCAAGTATTAATCCCAGCTCTAGCACTGGGATCAGTTGTTTTGGGCAAATCACAACCTGCCTCTGCCTCCGTTTCCCTATCTGTGAACTCATGGGGATGGTAATAATTTGTTGGGAGGATTTTTCTAGAATGGTGTAAATGTGGAGTAATCCCACTGAAGTTGGGAATCATTTTTGCATTTACACCGGTGTGTCTGAGAGCAGAATCTGTCCCTGTAATCAGTCACAATGAGGATATTCCAACAGAATGGAATTTGGCCGTGCAACTAGAGTTACAAAGGGATTACTCTGGATTTATACTGGTGTAACTGGCAGCTAAAATTTGCCTGATGTTTGTAAAGCATGTGGGCCCAGATCTGGACTTCCAGAGTCTTTGGGCTCCTAACTCCCATTGAAATAAATGAAAGTTAGGCACCTAAATACCTCGGAGAATCTGGGCTGTGGCGCAAACTGAGTGTGTGAGGCAGAGTGGCCTCCCTCCAAGCCTGACAGGGAGGAAACACTCCACATCTCCTGACTGGGCAGAACCAAGCTAGCCCTGTTCCTGTGCTGGAAGTGGAGGGGCAGGACAGGAAGTATAAAAGGAAGGCCTTCCAGCTAAGTTGGACTGGAGCCAGATATCTCTACCTTGCTGCGGAACTCTGGACCAGAGACCGAGCAATGCAGTGCCCCAGGAAGAGACCAGCTGGGGAGAGGAGTTGGTGGACAGGGGTCCCATGCATTTACTCCGAGGAGACTGAAGACCTATGGATGAAGGAGCCACACCAAGGAAGGGTGGTTGGAAGTAGCTGAGGGGAACCAGACATTAGCCCAGTTATGTGGCCAGTAAATGAGTCAGCATGTTTCGGTGACTTCCCTGCTGACCCAGTGGTGGGACCACCCACGACTGTTTGGGCTCTGGGCTGGGACCTGGTGGAGTAGAGGGGCCTGGGTCCTCCTTCCCCCTGCTGCCAACCCCACCCCTGAGGTGGGGGTCTATTCACCCTAGGCCAGAAGGCCTGTGGCTCTGCCCTGCCCAGAGGAGTAGAGCCCCAGACTACTTCTGCTGTCTGCTCCAGCTTGAAGGATGTAGCTAAAGGCTGCTCTTTACTCTCCCCGGCCAGAGGGTCAAGGCAATAGATTGTAGATTGCTATCTGCCTCAGCCAGGAGGCTGGGCAATAGACTGTGTGCTGTTCTGTCCTGAGGGTCAGAGCCCTAACCTTCTTAATGACTGCTCACTATGTGACATAGTGAGGCCGAGTGGGGAGGGACAACCACAGAACCACTGCACTGAGCAAACTGAGTTCTAAGTATTATCAGTGAGGGCATACACAAACACATACACACAGAGAGATCTGGATTACGTACAATTTAGATGTCAAATAAGTGAAACCTGGCGTAATGGGCTGTCCACCCCACCCCGCACAAGAGTGGAAGTGGTTAATGGAGGACAAGTGGGCCAATTAACCTAGTAGATTGAATACTGAAAGGAAAGCCCTGATTAGAGAAACAGGTTTATCTGTGAAGGAACAGGCGGGGCCTATATCAAGCCAGGTAGCTGGCTACAGATAGGCAGTGATTGCTGGGAAAGGCTGCAGTCATTCCCTGAGTGGAGGGAGGTGGGAGGCTGGCAAACCCAGAGAGGGGGGAAGCTAGAAAAGTAGGAAGAAGCCCAGGGAAACAGCAGCAAGAGGTAGGAGTATGCAGGGACTGTGGTTGCTTGTTATAGAGTTCCTGGGCTGGAAGCCGGTGTAGAGGGTGGACCTGTGTTCCCCTCGCTGTCGCTGGGAAGTGGAAAGGGCATTGGAGATGCTAGCCAGCCAGTGGGTGTGGAAGGACTTTGAATTCCCTGGAAGGGGAGGATCTTAGTGACCCAGCCTGAGGGCCAAGCCACGAAGAGGAGACTGCAGTCCCTGGTGTGCGAGGGGCTGCAGGGCAAGATAGTACAGGAGAAGATCTTGCCAGAAGGGAAGCATAATGCAGAGCTAATTCCCAGGACAGCCAGCAGGAGGCGCCACTAGCAGTGAGTGAACCCTGTGACACCTGGTCTACCAGGCCCCTGCCCTGCTGATCACTAGGATTTCAGTTTCTCCAAATGCATCACACTCTATTATGTGGCTACTTGTAACAATAGCTAGAGAAATATCAGATGCAGTGCCTTTGGTGGCTGCTGTTGATGGATTTCATGATAAATCCTTCCCTAACCCGTACTGCACACTGACAGTGGCCCGGTGACTATGCAATCCTCTGAATCGCTCCCACACACCCCAACCTCTCTAGCTTTTTAGGAATGGAAGCTTCATGTGATTCTTAAATATGTATGTCCCTTTCAAGAGGGAGACTGAAGTCCTAAGGTAAAATCTGGTCAGCCAGCACTGCAATAAATGCTGGTTGTGGTGGGTGGCAAAACTTCAATGGGCTTCAGTGGCAGAGGCCTCTATCTTTGAGGTCAATGTCCCAAAAATCCTAAGGATGTTTTTATTATGCATCCAGTGAAAGGTGGTGAGGGTTTTGGAATCACCATAATTGCTTTATTGCCATTGGATTTGCTCTAACAACGAGGAGTACTTGTGGCACCTTGGAGACTAACAAATTTATTTGGGCATAAGCTTTCGTGGGCTAAAACCCACTTCATCAGATGCACGGAGTGGAAAACACAGTAGGAAGATAGTACATGAAAAGATGGGAGTTGCCTTACCAATTCTAACGAGGCAATTCAATTAAAGTAGGCTATTATCAGCATGAGGAAAACATCACTTTTGTAGTGGTAATCAGGGTGGCCCATTTCAAACAGTTGAAAGAAGATGTGAGTAACAGTAGGGGGAAATTAGCATGGGGAAATTTGTTTTTAGTTCTTGTAGTGACCCATCCACTCCCGGTCTTTATTCAGGCCTAATTTGATGGTGTCCAGTTTGCAAATTAATTCCAGTTCTGCAGTTTCTTGTTGGAGTCTGTTTTTGAAATTTTTTTTCGTGAAGAATGGCCATTTGAAAGTCTGTTATTGACTGTCCAGGGACGTTGACGTGTTCTCCTACTGGTTTTTGAATGTTACAATTCTTGATGTCTGATTTGTATCCGTTTATTCTTTTGTGTAGAGACTGTCCAGTTTGGCCAATGTACATGGCAGAGGGGCATGGCTGGCACATATCACATTGGTAGATGTGCAGGTGAATGAGCCCCTGATGGGGTGGCTAATGTGATTAGGTCCTATGATGGTGTACCCTGAATAGATATGTGGACAGAGCTGGCAGTGGGGTTTGTTGCACGGATAGGTTCCTGGGTTAGTGTTTTTGTTGTGTAGTGCGTAGTTGCTGGTGAGTATTTGCTTCAGGTTGGGGGGCTGTCTGTAAGCGAGGACTGGCCTGTCTCCCAAGCCACACCAGGAAGAGATGAAGACAAATAGCAAGCAAGGAACTCCTTAAAAGTGGAGGGAAGGAAAATAACAAACATGGACTAAACTACTTACATGAATGTTACAGTGTTTTGTTTAAGTATCAATTATTGCCCAAGCAATGCCAGGCCTTACACTCCACTTGAAGGCATGCCTCTGTTTGCCTGTAACAGTGTAACTTTGAAAAACCACGTCCGATCAATTCCAAAATGGCAGAGAATGTTCTAGACATGGGCAGGCAGCACATGCTTGAGTTTGATGGCAATCAGAAAACCAGGAAAGGGGGACACAAAGATTCCCCTGGCCTGTGGTTAGCAGCCTCAGCAGGTCATCCACCTCTGTAATTGTCTTTAGTACAAAGAAGTGGCGGATGGTGGCAATTAGCACCTTCCAGAACAATACCCCCCTTCCCCGCCACACACACACACCTCAACTCTGCCCATCATCCCACGTGAGTTTGGCATGTTGAAGCCCTCAATGACTTCTCTCACGGACCAGTGCTGTAGTCATGCCAGAATGGTGTTCGCCTCGTTTTCTGGGAGCAGGAATGGTGTTCCAGTTCTTCTGACAAGTGTTAGCTTGCTGCAGAGGTGTAATGAAAGGATCCCCCCACACCCGTACCGGGAACCCCAGACTCATTAGCGAGCCACCATCTCTCCTTCTGGAGCAGGGCCGGACGTGGATCTCTTCATGAGTTCCAGCACTTCTTTCTTTAGGACTCCAGCATGGTCCCAGACTGAAAGAAAGAAAGGGTGGGGTGTGAGCTGGAAGATGGGCATGGGGGGTACACAGAATCCCTGACACAGTGGGGAAGGGATGAATGGGGGATAAAAAAAGTCCCTGGCAGCGGGTGAAGGGGGAACAGAAGACACAGAGCCCCGGGCATAGGGGGAGGGGATGACTGGAGGATACACAGTCTCCAGCATGGTGGAGAATGTTGGGGGGGGGGCACACAGAACCCCTGGAATGAAGGTGAGGATGGAATGGGGGCACACAAAGCTCCAGGCACCTGGTTAGGAAGGAATGTGGGGCACAGAATCCCTGGCATGGGGGTGAGCGTTGGCTGGGAGGGTCACAAAAAGACCCTGACATATGGTGAGAGGGAAATGTGGGGCACCCAGAATCCCTGGCCTGGGGGTGAGCAGGAAATGGGGGGGGCACACAGAGCCACTGGCATAGGGATGGGACAGGGAATGGGGCATGCAGAGCCCCTGGCATGGGGAGAGGGGTGAAAATGGGGACACACAGAATCCCTGGCATGGGGATGAAGGGGAAATGGGGGCACACACAGAGCCTCTGGTACGGAGAGGAAGGGGGGCACCCAGAGTCTCTGGCATTGGGTTAGGGGAGTATGGGGGACACAGTCCCTGGCATAGGGATGAGGGGGAAATGGGGGGGCACACAGAGCTCCTGGCATAGGGGAGAATGGGGGCACACAATCTCTGGAGTGCGGGGGAATGGGAGCACACAGTGCCCTGGGCATGGGGGTGAGAGGGGAATGGGGGGCAGACAGAGCCCCTGGTTTGGGGGAATGATGGGAGGGAATTGGGGACTCAGAGCCCATGGCATGGGAGAAGAATGTGGGTCACACAGAGTCCTTGGCATGAGTGGAGAACTGAATGGGGAGGAGTTACACAGAGGAAGGGAGTGAGGAGTTGCAGAGCGTCCCTACAATAGATGTGGATGGGAGTCTGGCACCCAGGGAGCCAGTGTTAGGAACAGAGGAATGCAAGGTGCCCCGGTGTGTTCAATGAACTCTGACAGAGGCAGTGAAGCGTGCGACCCTCTGCCTTACTTTGGAAATGTTCCTTTGTAACTAAGGGAGAAGGGGCGAAGTTCTTCAAAAAATGAGCATGTAGATGCTGAGAGATCAATTCTGTCATCATGGGGAATGGTGAGCTCCTGAGAAGCAAATAGCCTCGCCTGAAGGTCACATCTCGCAATAAAGGATCAGGGTCAGTCCCATTACTAACGCCAGAGAAAGGAACAGAAAATGTGATATCGCCTCTAAAAAAAATGTTCCCTTAGGTATTTGTGGAAACAGAGACTGGTCTTTGAGATAAACAGTGACCGGCCTTGACTACCAGTCGAGATCCATGTCCAAGGCCACTATGTAATTACCCATAACAAGGACACAGCCTTGGACAGAAAAACACCCACTGTTAACTATTAACTGTTTCACATTAACCGGGGTGGGGGATTGGCAGGTGCTAGGTTAGACTAGGATGGCCTGATTTTCAAAAGGTGCTGATCACCTGCAGCTCTGATTGGACAGGTCCTAACTGAAGTCAGTCTTGAAACTAGATAATTAAAAACGAGCCAGGTGATGCCTCTTGCACATCACGGTCATGCAGAGGGGTCAAAGTATTAGCAGCTTGGTGTTGAGCTGCAGTCCAGAGATGGTTCCCCCAAAGAGAATTGGTTTTTAGTTACATTATACAGGTAAAATTAGCTATCTCCTTTAACTTTACTAAACCAGTCACATTATTCAATACCCTTAGGCAGCAACATTTAACCAATCACGCACTGGCACCTATGTTTCCTCCTCCCTGCTCAAATCTTTTTTACATTTTATCTTTCGTGCCTAAATTGTAACTTCTTTATGACCTTCTTTGTGAGTGCAGATGGTCAGCATACATTTGCTGGTCAGAGCTTAGCTTATCTATTTTACCATTTGTTGGGGTCTTTCTGTTTCCTCCTTAAACTTCCCAGCGCCTGGGTGTTTCTACTGTACAACCCGTGGTGTTATAACTCTTGTTAGGGACATACCTGAGGCAGGGGTTCCTTAGCAACAGGGGAGCATTTTTCTTAATTTTAGCGGTGAAAACCCTGGGTTTCACCCAAGGGTTAGTCGAGGCTAGTTTAGTATGGGGGTGAGTTAAGCCCCAGGCCTACAAGACAATCCCCTTGGTGCTGCAGTGCTGATCACCTCTGAAAATCAAGCTACATCTCTGTAGGCGCTCCAGTCGGTGCATGGGATAGAAACGTTGCATGAACCGTTCAACACTTACTCCCCAACTGGGCAATCTGTTAGGGAGTAGAACAGTGGAAGCTTGGTCACTGGGGCAGGGGTGATGGACTTTTCATAAAAGTGGGGGGACCATGAGCCCCCCTCGTGGCCCTGCTCCATCTCTCCTCTTCCCCCTGAGGCCATGCCCCCAGCCAAGCCGGAAGTCAGAGCCTGTTGGGGAGTGGGGGGGGGGGGGCCAAGAGCACCCTCCTGGGTCTCCCACCCAGGACAAGTGGAGGGTACGTGGCTCCTTACAGCTGCCCACACAGACCCTCCATCTGCTCTGGGCAGGGAGCCCAGGGGGTGGGGACACAGGCCGGGGGCTGCTCTCTGGCCCCTTCCCCCAGGCAGGTGAAGGGTCTGCGGCTCCCCACAGCTGCCCCGGCTCCCTGAGCCGCTCTCACCGGGGCCAGGCTCCAGCTTCTGGCCTGGCTGGGAGGCGGGGCTTGGGGGGAAGAGGAGGGGCAGGGGTGGGACCCTTGGTGAAAAGTGAGTGGGCTAGGCCTGTCCACTTTCAAAAGTGGGAGGGCCATAGCCCCTTGGCTCCCCCTGTTCTTCCGCCCCTGCACTGGGGACATAATTAGATTAGACAAAGTAGTGG